TTAGATGATCAGGAGTGATGTGTCAAAGTTTCTGACAGTATAGTCTAATACTCTTAAACAAAAGTGTTGTATTCGAATCGACTTAAGGTGAAGTGAAACACGTCGAGGAACTTGATCGACGTCGATAANAACTGTCCGAAACTTTGACACGTCACTCCTGATCATCTAAGAATTGTCCTGACACATTCAAAATTTTGATTTTTTAACAAAATTCTTTAACTCAGCCCAGACCAGAACCAAAATGGCGTCGAGCTCTCATATTTCGATCAATATACAATTATCGAAGGCTCCGATATGAAAAACAAAACCGTCAGGACAATTTTACAACAATTTAGAACACTCTGGTAATCGATAAACTCGCATTTGGACAGAATAAGGGCAAAAAAAAGTGTTGTATGCGCTTCTATGCTAAAACGATGGGAATACGGGGTCTCGGAGTGAAAATTGAATTGACCTGGAAATCACAGATGGCGCAAGGTGTCCCTCTGCAGTCAATTAGGGCCCCAGAAAGCTTGAATCCAGAGGATTTCTGGAGTTTTACTTCGATTTCTTGATATTTATTGTACGAAAACGATAGGTGGAGTATGCCATTTGGTACAATATTCAATGTAATTCGACACAACTGTCAATATAAAAACGAACGTCGGCAACGTAGGCATTTGGAAAAATCTTCTTTATCGACGTCGATCAAGTTCCTCGACGTGTTTCACTTCACCTTAATGGCAAGATATATTTAGCGAGGTGCAAACTATTCGTTTAACTTGAGAAACGAGGTAGGTTCACAGGGTACCAGCTACTATTTCGTATATCAGATAATTAAACTAAGGAATGAAGTAACGCGGAATGTAAATGTAAGCCAGCGTAAGATCAGACAGGCAAAGTTACCGCGCCGCTCCTGCGGCGAGTCTAAATCATTCTTTGATTCATGCTCGATTCACTCTAAACAAACCGTGAAGGTGTTAGAGAATTAGCCGCAGAAACTACTAATTGATTCTGAAGTGATAGGGGGGAAAAGTAATGGACTGTCGAACCAGCAGAGGAAAGAGAACTGAGCCCATAATTATGAAAGTGGTCTAAGTCCAAATTAAAAAAAAAATGAGTTTATCAGGTATTTCACCCCGCATTATCTTAAGCTAAATTAATTCAATGTCATTTTTACAATATTGTAAAAAATGAACCATTAGGGAGTGGTTGTAATTTCAACATTATATGGAATTCATTAAGTGTTAATTATGAAAGTGGTCTACGTACAAAATTTAAAGAAATTATATAAATATAACCTTAAAATGGCACGTGGCCCTCTTTGGCGCGTTTTTGAACTACACGATAAGCCGACAAATGACAATCAAACGGTAACAGAAACGACAATACTTTCCGGTCTACCTAACAATACATGGAATTCATTTTGTTCTATTTTTAGAGTACATTAATTCAGTTGGGCTCTTCCAAACTTATTATTGGCGGAAAAATAATTTATATATTTTACCACTATGTCCGCCGATAGCGGTTCAGGTAAGTTAATGACAACGTACATATTATGTGAATATGTTAATTACTATTCGGATATGATGTGATTTGAAGATACTATACGACCACGTAATACTTCTTTAGATGATTCTAAATTCCACGTTTTGAATCTTTCGCCTAAAAGAGGAAGACCAAAAATATACGGAAATATTAAATTACTTCCATTATACCTCACCACTACACCAGTAATGGAAGAAAAATAAAGATATTATATGTTTACATCTCTCCAGTTTTTCAGGAACATTTGAAAAAACCTTAAAAACTCATAATGATAAAAGCCTAAAATGATAAAAATGGATTTCTTTTGAAAAATAATTAATAAATGTTCATGAATTATTTCATTAAAATTATCGTTTCTAATAAAACTCGTAGTTTTTTATTGCNTGTAACTAATTTTCCTAGTTCAAAAAAAAAATATATATATAACCAACCAAACTTCAGTAATCAGAAGTTCTAGTCATATTAACGAACTCTCTCATTAATGATAACTATACATTTTTTAACCAGGCGCATCTGGTAACAGCAACCGCAACTTTTGTTGTGTTGCAGAAATTAGAGGTTTCGAATTGAATGTTTCAACCTAGTCATTTATGAATAACGTCATGGCGAACCAACCCCAAAAAACCAGTTCTAGCAATACACGGTCAGCACACCTCTTGAAAAGTTCAAACGCCCCTAATTTGCCCCCTACCCGTCCCTCCCTTTCGGCCGAAATAAGCGCCGGGGCGGCATTACCCCTCTTGGTCCTTAATCCGCATTGCGCAATTAAAAACATAGGGCCGAGTGCACCATTTATGCCCAAAATTCATTAATCGTAACCACGCAACCCTTCACGCGCCAATGGCATTTCAAAGTAGTGACCGTGCCCAAATTCTGTTTAACACAGAAATATAATTATCCCTTCGCCTACATGCATGCCAATTTACCTGCCCCCTGATAGCGCTATCTATCCCGCTTTTAAAGTTCAAAGAAAGAAATTTTGGGAACAGTCAATAACAAAACAACCAAGAATAGACAAGGATCATAAAAAGTTATAATTGCATTGAAATTTAATTCTCAAAAATGCCCACCTCCTGAAACCAAAGACAAATACGCATAACTTCTCCGTAATACCCAAAAGCAAATTTTGACGAGTATCAATGCAAATCCGGAGATCATGTTCGTACTCAAATTTAAATTTGAAAAAGAAAGCATGAGCATGTTTAACGTGTACGTGTTGTTTGCTCAACCCCGACACTGAAATTGCAAACGCACTCATGTCTTCCAAAATGGAGCAAAACAAATAACGACCAGAGATCGCGATCGCGCTTAAATTCAATTTTAAAAAGGAAAACCCGAACGCACATAATAATACACGCGTGCTACTTATTTATTCTAAAACCGAAATCGCAAATACCAGCGCTTTTCAAAAATGAGGGAAACTCAATTACAAGCTACAGTGGCATAAATTGAAAACTCACGCGCATGCAATCATAATATACAAGGTGTTTCCTAAACATGTGGCAAAAATTCAAGGGGTGATTCCTGAGGTATTTTTAAGAAGAAAAGTTTATATAAACATTTGTCGGAAAATGTTTCATAAGGGAACTACGCCCCTTCAAATGGGGACCCCTGGGCCCAAGGGGGTAAATGTGCATCGTAGAAATTTGCAATTTTCTCGAAAACGATTACCTCTATCGTTATGAAATAAGAGTATCTTTTTTACGTAAAAATCCTTCGGGTATGACATTCTAAAATCAAAATGTAAAAAAAGAATGCCCATTCAAAAATGGGATTATTTTTACCCTTAACCTCTTCAGTATGGGACGCTTCTGATTAAAATTTTCAAATTCTGAGCTCCGATTCTGATTCAGCATTAAAAGTTTATGCAGTATACCAAATTTCATAATTTCAATATGGACGGTTTCGAAAATATTGAGGAAAAAACCGTCTTTAGGGTGCCCCATTTAAAGGGGCGTAGCTCCCTTAGAAAGCAATTTTCGACCAATGTTTATATGAACTTTTCTTCATAAAAATACTTCAGGAATCACCCCTTGAATTTTTGCCGCATGTTTAGGAAACACTCTGTAGATTGAACTTTGAAAACGGAAATGCGAGCGCACTTAATGATACACCCTCGTTACCTATTTGTTCCGAAACTGAGCTCGTAAATGTATACATTTCTTAACACATTAGCGACCGGCAAATTTTTTCCGTTTCAAATTTAAAAACGAAAACACGAACGCACATAATAATACACGCGTGCTAAATAAATGCGTAAATTTAAAACTCACGCGTACACAATCATAATATATATTGAACTTTGAAAACGGAAATGCGAGCGCATTTAATGATACAATCTTCTTACCTATTTGTCCCGAAACCGAGCTCGCAAATGTATACATTTCTTAAAAGGCAAAGAAAAATAAATGACGACCAGAGATCGCGATCGCCTTAAAATTTGATTTGTTCCAGTCGGGTCGTGGCAGCTTCGATTGTGCAACCTGAAGACTGTCATAAGCGGGGCGCGTATATAATTGCCTGGGGGTCTATTACGTAAAACAAATTGAGTGAAAATGTGAAAAATGAGTAGCTCACGGTATCACGGAACGTTTTTGGTGGTGAAAATCCGAGACCATTCATACGAACTGGCTCGGCACAAATTCTTAAGCGAAACGGTGAGGCATACAAGAAAAGATAGAAACATAAGCGCAGCAAATGCCACCTTCCGAGGATCGTGACACCGAAATTCAAAATGGAAAACCTCCTGGATGTTTTGATTTTTGCCAACAATCGTGTTCGGGAATGTAATAATAACCTTATTAGAAGAAGAAGCGAATTACGTGATGCCTCAGACCCACTTTCGTTAGAAGAAAGAGAATTTACTAGAATGTACAGGTTACTTTTTGTTATTGCGAGGTTATACTACATTATTAGACATTGAAAACTGTTAAATAATTCATGTTTACATGACATGATAAGAGAATTATATCGTTCAACTTCTAATTATAGTACATGTAAATATGAATGTAATACACATTTAAAAAATATAGACAGACTCGAGTCGTATCTTTACTTTTAACGGCTTTCCATCTTCCCGCCTTTCCTGCCTATAACCCCCTACGTCTCAACAGTTTTCGATTTACAAGGTATATACCTTGATTTGCAATATCACTAGTCCGGAAATGCTAGTCATCTCGTTCTTACGTATAGCGAATACGTAATTGGACGGATAAACTCACGTGAGATGAAACCGCGAAAAGTGAGCGCTCTCGTCAAAAATACGTAATAAACGCCCTGACCTCGTGCGGCGTTGCGTATAACGATGGGAAGAATCGATGAGGTTACGCGAGAGGGAAAATCCAACGAGGCGAGAGAAAAAAAAAGGTGCTGTGCCGCGAAGGTGGCTTAACGCGTCTACGGGCCGCGATTAGGCCCTTACGTGGCGCAAGTACCTCGCGTGGGCGTCTTGCGACGGCGGATGCGTAACTCACCTATAAGTCGTCCGTTTATCCAGGGCAAGTGCAGCCGAAAGTTAGGCCTCTTTTTGATCACTGTCGACACACTCGGACGCGTTTACTCGCCACGGATTACGTTCGCAGCTTCATCGAGTAAAATGTTTAGTTCCGGTCATTATCCCTCTCCGAATTCCTCCTTGGTCTCATTGCACTTCGATCTTGTCATCAAAGGGTGTCCGAGGTTGACCTTGAGTTTTTGATTGGAAGCTCTCGATACGATATGACGAAAAGTTTCTTCGATTAATTTTCCTTTTTGGCTTTTTCTTTTCCTTTTTCCTTTTTTATTCTCGCAGTTTGATTTTCGTTTCGATGCTCGCGGTACCGATTTATGGTATGTCTAGTGTTCCGTTACAGTCCTTCCATTATTTTGAATTGATCTTTTGATTAAATTGATCTCTGCTCGCGGCTCGGATTTTAATGGGAAAGTCGCGGGTAATTTGGCTGGTGTAAAGATTCCGTCGTCGTGCGTATTTCGTTTTGTTTCCCTCCTCGCGAAACGTGCTTCGCGTCTGAAAATGTGGACTGCGTTCAGTGATCAGTATGGCAGCAGTCTCGGTGGGGTATCCTCGTACCCCATGCTCACGCGATCACGTCCCAAGCAGAGACTGAAGCGCCTGAGAGCTATCCGCCCGTATAAATGCGACACTGCAGCCTCGGCGTCGGTATGTCTTCCCGCAGAAAAGGCGGCGAGGAGAGCGGTAAGAAAAATGATGATGTGGCGCCATCCCATTACCGACAGACGAACTAGGAAACCGAAAGAACTGCTACGACGAGATCTAACGAGCAACGATATCGGAATCGAATGTTATCGACGGTGGTAATAAAGCAAACTTGCACTGCTAATGAGCTCTGTGTCGATGACCTATGAAGTAAATAATTATACAAGTTCTTTCATGCATCTATTCTTTCCAACATCTCGTGTTTATAAGTATAGCGTAAATGTCTCGAAAACGAAGCATGAGATACATTCGACATGTGCAAATTTCTTTATCGACGTTAAAAATTCTTGACCCTGTGAAAGCGTTTTATAGAATTTCGTAGATTAGCTGTAAACAAAGTAACGTTATCTTGCAATTGAAAAACTGTAAACGTACGTTTCTTTACCGATTAAGAAGTTTCTCGCTCCTTTGAAAATATTGCGTCAACCTGCCGTCAGTTTGGCGCTGAAAGCAGTCAGATCCATCGAGACCTTAATTTTAATGACAGCATGAATGCTGCTACTCTATGGTCAAATCAAGCTCGATATTAAAAAATATGCACACATAGGGAATTTCAGGTCCGTGCTTGGCTACGATTTGTTACAAGGATTGTTCCGCAAAAAAAGACTTTCAATCTGGTCCACCTTAGGGGCGTGATTATTATAAGCTGAGCACTTTATCCTAGTTTTTTACAACAACCGGTGACCGGATTCGTGATACTCGCCAAAAACATTATTTCAACATTTGTGAAGATGTTTGTATCCAATGGTTGATAGATAACATTGATAACATTAATGTAGATGTAGCACAGCGGCATTGGTGACAGTCCTGGAAATTGTAATGTGATTCCGGTTTTTTGCACTGCAGGTGCACTCATTCTTTATACTTCACATTCCACAAAATGGGTGAGTTTATCCTATAAAGTTAGGTTAAATTGAGGCAAGCAATGATTTAATATAAAATGTACTTTTAGATGTCACGGGAGTATCGCAAAAGTGGCAGCAACATCTGTCACTTTTACGGCAGCAATATGTTAACCTGTTAAATTCAAATGCTGAACTTCAACAGAAGTATGAGACTGCCACGGCTAATACTCAAGGATCTGGGTTCGTTGGAAGACTTCTTGCTACTATAGCATCGTTACATGGTCAGCAACGTTACAGGTATGTTATATTATACCAAACTACTTTTCATGGCCTGTAACTTAATTCCTACGATTACCATATTTAGTGTTTCTTGAATTTTCATTGAATTATGTTAGAGCAGAACTCTATTGTGAAATTAGATACATAATAACCAGTATGAAGTATGCTTAACAACTTAATTTCCAAAGCACAAACTTATCACTTAACATGAGGACCATTTTGAACGATTTCTGTATTTTTAAAATGAATCATAATAAGTAACAGTTTTATTTCTGAAGCTATCTTAATCGAATACAGAAACATTAGTTTATACTAAAATAATTAGTGTATACACACCAAATGGATGTTTAAATTCCTTTCCTTAAAAAGAAAAGTCTCAAATGCATAAGTTTTATTCTATAGTTTTAACTGATCTTTCATGAAAAAGCATTAATTTCCTAGGCTTTACTGTCAAATCTTAGATAACATGACTCATTTTTTCCCATTGCAATGTATAGAAAAGCTTCATGATTTATATTTCAGTGATATAACTATCAAACTTGTGAACAAAGATATACCAGCACATAAATTTGTGCTTTCTGCGCGTAGTGATTTTTGGAACAATTCAGCTATCGAGGGTATCTCAGTACTCGGTATGGAAATAACATAAGATCTTCCTTACTTTAAGTTACTGATTTGCTAATGTAAAATTCAATTTTTAGACTGGAGTAACATACAGATTTCAGTAGCATGTGTTCTACTAGAATGGATTTATACAAGCAAAGTTCATGAAAAATATTTAACATTAGAATTAATGAAAGCAGCTTCCACATTTCAATTATCAGAATTGGTCGAGCTATGTGAAAATTACTTGATTGGAACAGTGAGCCTTCGAGACTGTGTTTCACTGTATACTGCTGCTAACGAAATGAATGCTGAAAGAATGAGAGATCACTGCAGCTCTCTGATATCTGCTCATTGGGTAAGCTCTATAAAGATAAGAATTGGTAGGTAGTGTAAATTTGTAAAAAAAACTAAAGAGTCGTGTATATTTTAGGAAGATCTCACTGGAGAAGATTTCAAAGAAATGCCAGGACCGCTTCTGTATCAGTTACTAAAATCTAAAAGTGAATACCCTTTACATTCAGCTGTTCGATTAGTTCGTGAGGATGTAGTATTTTTATATATGGTGGAACATAATGCAGAGGTAAGAGGTTTACTTATTTCAAATAAGCATGTATTTTGCACGTAAATATCATTCAAGTTGTATTGCACTGTTTGTATTCCTCAATGAACAGACCATACGGATATGAGGACTATAAAATGAAAATTCACATGTATGTACATATAAACTAAATTAAATTCAATGTTTTAGTGGCCTATAGGCCATTTAGGAGATTCAAAAGTAATTATTGCCACTTGAATTTATGTCGTCATTTATCACTAATCTTAAAAATTACAAGGAATTGCCTGAAATTGTATTACATAAAAGCTAGGGTGAGAGGACTGATATATCTATCAATAAATTTCTGTGATATGATAAACCTATTCAATTTCATAATAATGCAAATGTATGCTTTGTTAGATCACTGAGCATTACATCTGCTTACTTGAAAATTAGTTTCATATATAAATTTTAGCCTTCACATGTCGAATATCAAACAGTTCTGTGTGCTAGTTTTCCAAAATAATAAGAAACCAAAATATTGATACACAGTAAAACATCACATTTGAGACTCTCTTATTTTTACTTTATAAATTTAATTAAAACAGCGCCATAAGTTCAATTTTACTAGCTGACATAATCTAGAACAATGTACATAGTTACTGTGGCTCTATAGATTAAATTATCTGAATGATCATATAAAAATACACCATATATATTTATAATTAAGAAATTAATATATGTAAATATATATTAATTTCTTGTTACCGTGTTTAACACAAAATTGATCTATTTTAATTTAAACTGAGTTAAGTCATGTGAGGTATCTTAATGCTATCACAGTACCTAATTTGCATGGAAATAGGCACACAAACTTCACAATTCTATTTAAGTACTCACAGCCCATCTTGTTATGAAAATATTTTAACATCTTGTTCTGCGATCTTTGAAATGCATCTATGATATCCTATGTATATTTTATAATTGTGCAAATAAGCACAATCACAATGTATCCTATAATCTTCTTATACAGAAAGTTTAAATTATAAATATAGTACTTGGGCAATGCAAATTAGTAACCCCAACATTAGTACAACATTAACAAAAATGTTAGATGATTTTTGGTTTGATGGCGATTCATTACACAAATGGTAGCTACAATAACAATACTCAGGAGGACCTGCAGGTGTACCATGGTCTTCTTCAGTAAAACATCCTTCGTTATAAGCCGTTTTCACTACCTCTTCTACTTCTTTCCACTTAGCCTCCTTAAAACTGTACGACTGATATAAATGTCTCTGTGAAGCACAATCTCTCAAGACACTTGTCACTATAGCTGAATAAACATTGAATATTTAATTTGTTCATTACGTGTCACGTTCAGTTTGAAATAAAATAGTTATCAAAATACTTACTGCCATTAGCCAATTTCAAGTGAAATGTCTTTTTCATGCAAAAAGTCGAAGTTGGGCAGAATACTTGAAAACGACTACTTTCGTCAAATTGAGAGCAAAGCTGACTTACAGGTTGCATCATATTAGAGATTCTTATGGGTGGCAATATAGTGCACTTGTAACATGATATTCCTTCTGCATTTGTTGATAAACAGACTGTAAATCATAAAATATTAGACAATTAAATATATAATTAAGAAAGCACAGTCAGGAAAGTTATTGAAAAAGCAACAGTAAACTCATATACTTGTTTTACAAGCAAAAATGTAGTCTTGATTAACAAAGAAAGCAGTTTGCAAATTATATTTTATGTAAGCTTTTGTTTATAAAATATTTTTCTAAGTTTCCTATTTTAATTTTAACTCGGTTATTATGCATTCTAACCTAAATACTTGAAATGAATAACTTTTGCGTTCTTTAATGAAGCATAAGTAATTTATCATGAAATTGTTCAGTTTGACACATTCACTCCCATGACAATCACTAGTGACTGGTAGCCACTTTGCAATAACATATTCATTGTTTATTTTTATGTTAAATGTGTTCAGATACATATTGCATGAAATGAAATGATTCCAATGTAGCAAAAGAATTACCACAAAATAAATATTTTACGTACATTGCAGTAATAAAACATTGTATATCACAAGGCTAGCAAGATCGATAGGCTGCATCTTTTCCTTCCACGCCATAGGGCTCAAATTAAATTAGAACATTAAAGTATCTTGCTAAAATGTTCACTTGCACAAGCACTCATTATGTCAGATACCACCAGAGAAATGTCCAATAAGATTTCAATCAATTATTACGAGCCGTCATTGATTGTTCAATAATTTGTAATGTATATATATATAAATATTATATATATGTATGTGTATATATATATATATGATATAAATTGATGCTATCCTAGTCGGATTAGGCAGAACACAGTATAAGATTTTTTCTCTTGAAAAGGCATACAGTGTTATCAGTTCTAGCTTCCTGTTAGATTATTAGTTTCTTTCCGGCATGATTTATGCCTTAGACCTTGAGAGTACTTTGCAAGTACCGAATATCACCATTCCAAGTAATTTTGATATATGTAAATAGTAGAATTGTAGAGTTAAAAACAATGTTTACACTAAGTGCTTTGAACTCCATGCAGTCTATAACGATACGTTATAAAATTATTTCCTCCGTCTTGGTCTCCGGAGGCCCTGATAAAATTTATAACGATCCTTGGTTTTATATGCACCTGTTCTTTAATCCTTCATTGCTCGATAAACAAGCATAAAGTATTACAATGCTTGAACAAAGCCAGTAATCGAGCACGACTCACAATTTTATATCTCTAAAGAGTGAACCGCGTGCTCTAAAAATAGTTTTTCATCGAGCGGTACTTATGCCAGCTCTGAAATGCATTCCATTGAAACTAGATTTCATATCTTATTAACTTTGAAGTTAATTAAGTTTACGAATGTGGCAACTTGATTCTTCTCACGACCTACGAGCACTGGTCTCTCTAATACCTTGACAGATCACCGAGAGCCACGATTACAGACCACGTGTCCATAGATTTTTACCAGATTCTAACCTAAGAGTGATGCTCTAATGAAAAGTTAAAGTGGCCGAGCCCGTTGGAAGTCTGCCATAACTGGGTCTTTTTCATCGGAGGACCAGCCAGTACCAGTGCGTTCGTAGGCATCCCAGTCGTCGGCCACGTCATTTCCCCTTCCCCGATATTATATCGAGCCACACCAGCCGCTACTGTTCTCTTGCGCGGCATCCTTTCCGCACTTTTTCTTTCGCGCGTCATCGTTTCAGGGTCGTGTATAGTAGCTGCTACCTGGGCGCACGGAAAAACATTAAAAATGTGTGAACCTTCGCGTAATCCCCTGATATAATATATGGACATTTATTCAAATATATACAGGGCATCCAAATTAAAAAAAAAAATTCACAAACGTTATTAAACCCATTTGTTTTGACAAATTTCGATGTTGTATGTTGTAAATCCAAGACTAACATCATGCGAAAATTCGAAAAACACTTCGGAAAGTAAACGTTATTGAATGGGATAACAAAATGAAGAAAAACATCCAACATTCATGAATTTCGTAGAAAGAACGTAGCACTGAGAGAATTAAACTGAGCGCATTAGACAATTTTACTCATTAATTCCACGAGGAAGTTAGGTTTTTATTTAAAAAAATGAAAACGGAACTATATTTGGAGATCTGATGAATGTTAATGATGTATAGTTAATGTTTCTTTTCATTTCACTTTGTCACATTTTATTTGTATACTTCGAGTCTTTCTAGAATATGTAATCAGTGCCGTTTGCGCGTGCTATTTAATGTACTTGGTGCGAAACTATATCGAGTTTCCAGATCCACGACGATGCACAAATGGATCTGATAAAGTGCAAGAATCTCAAAAACTGAGACGCTTTACGCAACTCATTTTCATATTCTTACACGCGAGTAAAAAGTTCACTCTTAGGGAACTTCGAGAAAACAGGAAAAAAGTAGAGAAATTGATAAAACAATATGAATACCGTAGGGAATCTCGGGACAGTAGCTAAAAGAATGATGCGAAAATTACATTTAACGAGTTCTTACACCTGCACTGCCATTTTAATTTATTTTAAACAACATATTTCAAAAAGAAATTGGGTTTAGGATTGATATTTTANCACGTCGAGAAATTTGATCGACGTCAATAAAGAACATTTTTCTAAATGCCTACGTTGCCGACGTTCGTTTTTCTATTGACAGCTGGGTCGAATTATAATAGTTTATCTATAACGATACACTAATAATATTATAAAGAGAGGTTTATGTTTGAGGTAGTCTCGAAAACGACTAGGCCAATTTTTATCGAATTTTTACGCATATATCCTTATGATCTTGCAAAGATCATAGGTTTGATTTTATTACTTGATCACCCGGGAAACTTATTGATAAATGAAAATTTCAATTTCGTATTCTCGGGCGTCGTAGCGCAGAACTTCTCATCAAAACGTCTCTATCTCACCACCGCACCGGCTTAACGGGGCGGTAGGTATAAGATAAAAAGAATATATCATTTAATACCTGTTCAATTGAAATTATAACCAAATATGAAACGGGCAATTTATGATAAGAGAGAGCCGAGCAATGACAATTTTGATGAATCAAATCGACGAAAAACCGGAGCGCTTTCTTAGCTTCCTTGCGAAACTAGGAGAAAAACCCGGAGGTAATATAATTCTCATTAAAAAATGTATTTGACTCGAAATTCTACCGAGTTTCTTGACGACAGTTCATCAGAGTTATAATGCACATAATAACGTGTGGTCTTGTAATTTCTATCAATAAAACCAGGAAAAAAGAGTGAAGATGAGGAAAGCGGTCGTCACCGGCATAAATAGTCGTGTTTACAATAGCAGCCTTCTGGAAGACGTAATATGATAGCAATATGCATAGCCCAACTATTCAAGAACGGTTATGCTTTGTATTTAAAAGTATTATTGAGATTCCATTCGGCAGTGTAGGTATTTACAACGAATGCATGCAGTAAGAAAAAAATTATTTTTAAAGAGCAAAAGGTTCTTGCAACCAAATAGAAGTTCACTTGCTACTATCAGCAAAATAAATTGTAGGACGTCCAATGACGTTAAACAGCATCTGGTAATTAAAATGTTAAAATTATGTGTCTTATGACTTATGAACTGTGACAATTCAAAGATAGCAATACATTCTTTTAACATTTTCCGAGGTTCCTGTTTTAATTTATACCTCAGCGAGTTATAATTGTTTACTCTCTCCAGGACTGTTAAACGTATGTGCGGCAATTATGCACCGCCAGATGCTTATTATTTTTTATTGAAATCCTTTTTTCAGAAAAGTCACAGTAATTTATTGTATTTTAGCTCCAAAGTGCAGTGAATGCAGTCGACTCTAAAGGGGAAAGAGCTCTAGACGTTGCCCTGAAGGCGCGTCAACCATCCTTAGCGCGAACTCTCGTGGAACATCATGCCGATCTAAGCGCAAAGGACTCTCGAGGACTCACGTTACTTCAATCAGCTGTCTTGAAAGGCGACTCCTATTCTGCAGAATTTATCATCGAACAGTTGGAGAATAGCAATGGCCTTCAAAAGTTATGCGAAGCCGTAAAAATTCCCGAAAATGCGAAAGACTCGCTAGATCTTCGGGAATTCGAAGGTTCCACGGCATTGCATTTAGTGGCTAAACATAAATCGCAAGAAATGATGGCAGTGGCATCCAGGTTACTTCAAGCTGGAATCGATCCTAATTTACAGGAACACAGAGGATAGTACTGTATCAAATAATTTCTCACCATATAATATTTCAATATTTAGTTGATAACAAAGAGAGTTTTAAATATTCGCTAAACCGAGCATTACAGTCTCTTCTCATGAGAATTTTTTAGCCGTAGATTTCAGAGAGCTATACGTGGAATTAAATAGTTTATTTTTAATATATTTTTTCTGTACGCAACGGTACTCCAATTACACAAACTCCCCATTGGTACAACTTCTCACGAACGGAATCGAAAAGAGAACTTTAAATCAAATTTGTTGATATATTAGATTTCTTACAAGGTTTAGGATTTATAATTTCATTAAATTAACATGTTAAGTCTGTTGGGACTCAAAATATTTTCGTATACATGACGCATAATCTAGTAGTTCAACTAACAATAAGAAAATCAGTGACCTTTTCTAAAAGACACAAATAGTGGGAGAATTTCTAAAAAATCTTTTGCTCAGTCTTTTCAAGTATAGTTTCACTTCTATCGTATGGTTTTTTTTTTTGCAAAATGTGATAGTAACACGCGATGACAAGAATATACGTTCTAGATTCCCAAAGATTTACAGGGCGATTTGAATGAATCTTGATTATTAGTTTGATTCTCTCTAATGTGTTAATTATTTATAAAAGAAATATAAATATACATGTTTTATTTTAACAGCACAGCTTTACACAGCAGTATAGTAGAAATGAACGAATCTTTGTTCGACATGCTGTTGGATGTGGAAAACATTGACCTAGAAATAACAACTATACATAACGATACACCGTTGGCTTTCGCTTTAACCATAGAACCTTTTGATGAGTCGTATGCTAAAAAACTTTTAAAAAAGGGAGCAAATCCTAACCCGATATATGACGAATCTGGCGACACACTTTTGCATAAAGTGATCAAAGAAGGCCACGAAGAAGCAGCTCTCTTTTTGGCGAATCACAGCCAGTGCAATGAATTAAAGGCTAACGAGAAGGGCTATACTGTCCTGCACGAAGCCTGTAAAGCTGGAATGGCGGAATTAACAAGAATTCTATTAAAATGTGGTCTGCCAACGAATGTCGTTACTAAAACCGGTGAAGCGCCGATTCATTTTGCCGTATCAAATTTGTTAACCGATGTGGTGGAAGCTCTACTAGAAGCCGAGGATTCACTATCACAATTAAATATAACAAATCGTGAAGGTGAAACCGCACTGAGTCTTGCGATCAAGTTTCCTCTTAAGACAGGAAGAAATATTCTTACTGCTCTTATTAAAGCTGGAGCGAATGTCAATCAGCGTAGTGGGGATGGTTTAACATTATTACATGAAGCAATAGCGAGGGAGGATGCAGCCACTGCTATTTTCTTACTGGAAAACGGTGCTGACATGAACGCTAAGTAAGTAAATTATCACGATGATCAAACGAAAAACGATAATATAAAATCGACGTGACTACACCTACTTAAGACCTTTGGAGAGAATACAGTACCTAAAATGTAAACACTTTGCGTTTTTTTGCCAGTGTTAATCATTTTAAATGGATCATTAGGAACCTCTGCTTTTTATTCACGATTTTGGTATCAGTATTCGAACGTTAAAGTGAGTGACTGGTAATTACTGTTTAGGAAGAGATCGGATTAAATAAATTAATTAATAGAAGACAAACAAATTAAGGCACAGCCTCACTCGAACTCGCTTTCCTTCTGTTCTTTACTCGTATTTTTCGCTGCTCCCTAGTTGGTTGCCCCCTATCAACGTCACTTTCATCACTATATGTCTTATCTTGTAGCAGACTTTTGTTTGTTCCAGTTTCTCGTTGCACGGAAAACTGTTAGCAATTTACTATATACATATATTCCTTCGTTCTCGAAGGGGAAATGAAATAAATATTACACTTTTTGCTTCTTATTTATAGGACAGTAGATGGCGAAACACCCTTGCAGTTATGTGTGCTCTGCAGATTGGGAGAAGTAGTGGAAGCTCTTTGCAGACGAGGAGTGGATACCTCTACGGGCTGTCCGTTATGGGATGCCCTTGATTCCAATCAAGAAGACACTGCGTCTATCCTAGTAGCACATGGTGCAGACACAGATTGCTGGGGACCTGGGCCAGACGGTTGTCAGCAAACTTTGTTACACAAAGCTATCAATGAGAATAAGGAAGAAATTGCACAGTTTTTAATCAGAAGGTACCATTTTTTAGTTCAAGACATACCTTTATTCCAACATTTTGAACATAAAATAGAAAATGTATTGCACAAAGTACCCAATGGGAAACACGAAAATTGGAAATTCTTGTGTTAAATTTGACAATTGTACGGGATCAGCAACTTATCGCTGAATAACCACGCTTGTTTCGTACAAATAATTATTTTTCATTTTAACAATTATGAAAGAATGAAATGAAATCCTTGTCATAAAGGGTTTTTAAAGGTCTGCTAATAAATGATACTTAAGGTGAAGTGAAACCCCCTTCAAATCAGTCGATTCGAATACAACACTTTTTTTTAAGGGTATTGGACCAAACTGTCCGAAACTTTGACACATCACTCCTGCTCACCTAAGAATTGTCCTGACACATTTAAAATGTGGATTTTTCAAACAAATTTTTTAACTCAGCCCAGATCAAAACCAAAATGGCATCGAGCTCTCATATTTCGATCGATATACAATTATCGAAGGCTCTGATATGGGAAACGAAAGGGTCAGGACAATTTTACGACAATTTAGAACACTCTGGTAATCGATAAACTCGCATTTGAACGGGATAAAGGCAAAAAAAGTGTTGTATACGCTTCTATGCTAAAACGATGGGAATACGAGGTCTCGAGGTGAAAATTTAATTCACTTGGAAATCACAGATGTCGCAGGGTGTTCCTCTGCAGTTAATTAGGGTCCCAGAAAGCACGAATCCAAAGGATTTCTGGAGTTTTACTTCGATTTCTTGATATTTATTGTACGAAAACGACAAGTGGAGTATGCCATTTGATACAATATCCAATATAACTCGACACAGCTGTCAATATAAAAACGAACGTCGGCAACATAGGCATTTAGAATCTTTATCGACGTCGACCAAGTTCCTCGATGTGTTTCACTTCACCTTAAGACTTGATACATCTGTAAATTTGTTCTAACAATACTAATTGTAGTGAAAGCGTTCATCCTCGAGTACTATCGAAAGTTGGCATCAAATATGGATTTCGTTCACAGTGGATGCGACCTGAATGCACCGCGTCGTCCAGGACCCGATGGTTCTGGTGGTGAAGAAGCAAAAGACAACTGTTCGCCATTACATTTGTGCTGCCAGTGGGGTCTAGAACAGGTTGTGCAGACTCTCGTTGAGCATGGAGCAAACGTAAACGCGCGTGATTCCGAAGGAAAGACTCCGGTTCACGTGGCTATTCAGAATCAATATTCTCAAATAATCTCTCTATTACTGTGCCATCCCAACATCAACCTATCGTTACGAGACAAACGAGGACTGAGTCCATTTGCAGCCGCACTGACCGTACGCAACATTAAGGCTGCGCAAGCTATCCTAGCAAAACTACCAACAGCTGCTGAACAATTTGACAATAAGGGGAGAAATTTCTTACACATGGCTATCAAGAAGGGTGACTTGGAGAGCGTGCTGTTTCTACTGTCTATAGAGGTATTGTTATACAGAATGTAAAACGTAACGTAAACGATCTTTATTGAAACTTTTATACCGACAGAGGGTTTTTATAAACAACATTAGAACACCAACACTTCCCGTCATTAATGTGTTAAAAGAAAATTTTGTAATAAGTACTAAGGACGTAAGCCGAATTTATATTAGATATTTGAATTGTCTCGGGAATACAAGTTTTCACCGAATATCTGAACTTCTACGCAAAAACCACAGAACTGTTAAGTCCAATTCTTTAACGAAGATTAGATTCAAAATCAAAAATTCTTTTCCTAAGACATCAATACGTCTTGACGAGTAGACAATATAAAAAGATAGAAAGAAAAAGGATAAATAATTGATGATGTATATAGGATGTATGTTATGATGGGTCCAGATTGGATTTTGTTGCCGCGAAGGGATTCACATTCAGCCAATCAGAAAAACCATCATATTGGTGAACATAAAAAAATACTGCTGGGTTACAAATTTGGCAATCACGATACGAGATTGTATCAATGGAGAGATATTATCATAATTAACGTATCATCAAAGCATGGTCATATCTTCAGAGCAACTGAGTCCCAGTGGTTTTGGACCCGTCATAACTCATCGTCTATATCACTTTAAAACAACAACATTGAACGTTTTTCTTATTTGTACAAGTTAAGGTGAAGTGAAACACGTCGAGAAATTTGATCGACGTCAATAAAGAACATTTTTCTAAATGCCTACGTTGCCGACGTTCGTTTTTCTATTGACAGCTGGGTCGAATTATATTAGGTATTGTACCAAGTGGCATACTCTACCTGTCGTTTTCGTACAATAATTATATAGAAATCGAAGTAAAACTCCAGAAATCCTCTGGATTCATGCTTTCTGGGGCCCTAATTGACTACAGAGGGACCCCCTGCGCCATCTGTGATTTCCAGGTCAATTAAATTTTCACTCTGAGACCTCTTATTACCATCGTTTTGGCATAGAAGCGCATACAACACTTTTTTTGCCTTTATCCCATTCGAATGCGAGTTTATCGACTACCAGAGAGTTCTAAATTGCCGTAAAATTATCCTGACCCTTTCGATTCTCATATCAGAGCCCTCGATAATTGTATATTGATCGAAATATGAGAGCTCGACGCCATTTTGTTGTGGTCTGGGCTGAGTTAAAAAATTTTGTTAAAAATCCAAATTTTGAATGTGTCAGGACAATTTTTAGATGATCAGAAGTGATGTGTCAAAGTTTCGGACAGTTTGGTCTAATACCCTTAATAAAAAAGGTGTTGTATTCGAATCGACTGATTTGAAGGGGGTTTCACTTCACCTTAATGCGGCACATAAGGTCACACTTCTTTAAAACAAAAACCACATCATTAACTAAAGCACACTTTTTTAACAACACAATAAAATTATCAGTATCGTTATGATGAACATGGTTATCATGTTCAGAACTTTAGGTGTTTAAGGCAAAGGGAAATAAATATTTAAAAAAAATGAAAATCTTATGGAACAACTGTCAAGACAACTGTTCTATGTGTCTACATTATTCTTTGGTAATAATCAAAACTATGAATTTAATTAGACCGGCACATATCCATTACTGTAGCGTTTTGATTCTTCAGGTAGACGTGAACTCCAGAGTACAAGATGTCACGCAAACACCTCCGCTGCATTTAGCCGCTGCCTCAGGAAATGAAATGCTAGTGCGGAGTCTAATATTAGCTGGTGCGCGAATTGACGATGTAGATGCCTATAGAAACACAGCATTGCATGCAGCGGCTAAAGCCGGCCATGCAGCTGTCGTGTCTGCATTGCTCCAGGTACATTGTAGAATCAATTAATGCAAATTTAAATATAAATTTAATAAATATTTCATTTTCGCAGAACAACATTAATTTTGATGCCGTGAATGCGGATGGAGACAATGCTCTGCATGTAGCCGTAAGAGAAGGACATGGCTCGGTCGCGAGAACACTTTTAACGGAATGTACTCTAAACGCGGAAGCTGTAAATCTCAAAGGAAGGAACCCGTTACATGAATTAGCTAGGACTGGGAAGGAACACGGTGCAGCAATATGCGAACTCTTCTTCGAATGCATGGCAAAGTACCCGCTCAATAATGCTGGTAAGTGCCAATAGATGAGATTCAATTAAAGATGATGTTAACTATACAAATTCACTCGCATACCTATAGTTACACATGAGCAAGAATGCAAATAATAAAATTAATGGATCGAAAAACTATTTCGTATTTATTTTAACTCACAAGTAACCCGATAATGGGTTCAGGTGACAAAATTCAAAGTGCATTACATCACTCTTACGGTACTTTCAAACGAATCATAGGATTTAAAATTTTTAAAATTGAGAAAAGTGATGAGAAGGAAGCGAATGATTGTTACTAAAAATGTTTAGATAATTTAGAAGTAGGACACTAAGTAGTATTGAATTAATAATACAAATTTGCTGCAGATTTGGATGGAAACACGCCATTATTAATTGCCTACATGAAAGGTAATGGTAATCTCTGTCGGACTCTAGTAAAATATGGAGCATGCCTTGGTTCAATGAACAAAGACGGAATTACAATATTCAACTATCAAGTTGCAACGAAACAGCTTTTATATAGATTGTTAGATTCTTTGACAGAAGAAGCTCCATGGGTGGAAAAAGATCTTTGCTTAGAATGTGGCACGAAGTTCACTCTTAGAATGCGTAAACATCATTGGTAAGAAAATTCTTAAATTGTACAGTCCTATGAATTAATCTCTTGTGAAAATGACGAATTTTATCTTATTACTATGATTAAGTGCATTTTTTAAATCCTCAGTTGCATGGCGTGTTTTTTGTTTCCAGTCGCCACTGTGGAAGAGTCTTGTGCAGTAAATGCTCCGATCAGGATGTGCCAATCTTGAAATTTGGATTGAACAAGCCAGTACGAGTATGTGCAGTATGTTTTGATGTACTGCAAGTTGGTACTGATAAATCGATGTAAATGTAAAGTTTATGCAAAATCAAAGTTTATAAAATAAAATACACCATTCCGTAACAAAACCAAAAATGGTGAGTTTTAATTGTCTATTTAGGAAATGTATTGTTCTCCAATATTGGAGGATTTTTACAATTAATTCATTTTGAAATGTGTTCAAGCACATCACACTCATCTTGATCTTGAACTTATAATGAATAATCAAAACTTTTGTGTTTTGAGCATCTTAAATGATTTCTTAATATTTTTTTTTTAATGCAGCTACAATTTTACACCTTTTATTATTTCTAAAAATCCATTATTCATAATGATAAAATTAATTTTAATAAATGTCGCGCCTATGAATGTTTCATATAATTCAATAATGAAGAACATAAAATACATTCTACAAATAAATTGATCCAATGTTTTAACAACTGGTCCCAATAATACATCTTCAGTGAAATCATATTGCATTATTAGTAGTATTGTTGAAACCATAAAAAATATTAAGATACTATGAGAGTTATAATCAATTTGAACTCATATAATTTTGTAATTAGCACTTCATAAGTTTGGAAATAATTATAAAGAATACAAAGTAAAAAATACCTATTAATGCTACTCTGATCATATTAATTCTTCTTACAGAATACAGTTTTTTCTTGTTTGCATTTTTCACTACATTGGTTATTAACCATTCTAGCTTTCTATGTCCAAAAATAGATACATAGCAAACAACTTTTATAAACATTAAAGTTTAAAGATAAATCATACAATGAAGTTAATAAAATAAAATTTTAATTAAGTTATTTTCAATGATATAAGATGTTTTAAAAATGATGGGCTAGTATAAGTGAGTTAACTATATATGGGAAATTGCTATGAGATTATGTAATTTTATACAAAAATATTCTTCTAATCAATGAACCCTCAAAATAATGAATTGTTTTCTAAATGAAAGTGCAGTTCGTCCACAATCCATCGATTTATTCCGTATGCTTTTCCTAATCCCATGTAATGTTATTAATCACGGAAAAATAAAAAAGACAAATATAAGTTCCCTTCTTTAACTGGTGTTTTTATAAAGAATACTAAATTCATTATTACATAATACTTCAAAACATACCAACAGGATTTGATCGATTAAAGAGATCGATCCAAAGAAAGAAGTTACAATTCTAAGAGCTTGACAATCAATTTAATCGTTTCGATTCGGTGCACTTCAATGGCTATATATAAAATGTTTGAAAGTATCCACGTGCCTTCATTTTCAATCCCCTTTTATTTCTAATAATGAAATTGTATATACAACATGGTGGTTGGAACTAATAACTTTTAGTTGGCATTACCAATTATTTACTCGATGTAATTATTTAAGTTTAGTGAAGAGCGTCTTGGCTACACAGTGGTCGACACATTGAACATAATCAATGAGTTCCTCCAAACAAGTTTCCTCTGTTTTAGTTCTCGAATTTACTCTGTCATTGCATGTGTTCAGCTTCTGCTGCAGACTGGAACAATTAGATTTCTTCGAACACTGCTCCTGTAAATGAAAGAAAAGTACATAAATTGACGCAATGCGGAATGAGCTTACATTTTAAAGTACACTATAAGGTAGTGACAGTTTTCAAACACTGATAATTTAAAAAAGATTATGTAACTAATGGGAAGACATACACGAAGTACTTTCTGTGGATCGACTAGCTCGCCATCGTCGTCGTCGGCTCTGACAGTAGGAAAGAATCGTCTTACAAAGAAGGCCATTATATTTTCGCGATTGAGTTTAAGATCTCACGAGAAATAAATTAATTCGACCGATCGGAGCCAGAAATTACCGTCACTCGTTAATAAACTCCAGAGCGAACGTTTTATCCCGGTAAGACCCTGCAAGATGGCTGCCGTGTCCGGGCATGCCAAAACGCTCGTCAATTTTGTTTCAGTACCGGCGGCAATTCAAAAGGGTCGTTTTTATCTCTTCTACGTTTGACCGCGACCAAGATGAAAATCACCAAATATTAAACAAAATTGCTAGCCATCGCGTTTTAAGAGGAGTACAGTTACAGAAACGATTCTACAAGGGAAAATCACGAGAAATCCGAATTATGAACCACGAAGAAACCCTTCGTTGGAAGGGGGACCCGACGAGCTCGCGTCTGCGCACCCTGGCCGCGCAGCTTTCCTCTAAACCCAAAGCATCGATTGGTCAAGGGGAGTCGAGCCCGGATTCTCTTAGATTGAAACGGACCAATGCAAGAGATGGCTCTCGGCGGGCGTCGTTTGTTGGCGAGATCCTCTCGGAGAATTTGCATCCAGAAACTAATCCGAACCATGCAGACCCGTCGAATTCGCACAATGCCCGCGGTACTCGGGACTATCAGGTATTTTCCGTCGAGGATTCAGGATTCCCCGCGCCGAGGAATTAGCCAGCCACGAGGGACTCTCCGAGAGCGTGTATTCGACGTTTCTGCACGTTTTTCTCTCGGACGGTCACTTGGCTCGAAGCGTTCGAGGAACCAAGGAGAGTTCGATCTCGCTATCGAACCGCGAGTATCCGCCGGATCCGCCGATCGTAAATAATAGTTGATAAATATCGAGTTCCGAGGAAGGCGGCGATTCGACGCACACGGCGACAGGGATGGCGTCGCACGAGACGGACGCGAAGTCATTTCTGCCCCGCTCGTCCGTGAGTCGTGTATATCGCATCGGGCGGTTTATCGCGACGAATGGAAGTGGCTTCTCAGGGCCCCCGAAATAACGCGGCGTACTTCACGTTCCAGAGCCGAACCTCTACTCGAGGCTCCGAGTGCGGGTGGCGGCGATCAAGAAACCTCGAGCACGACGCGTCGCGTGGACGAGCGAACGTCACGGCACTCTCGCGGGACCGCGTCCCAGGAGTCTCGCCGAGAGAGAACCGCACGTTTTGCGGGCCAAGCTGCCGACGGCAAGAAAGGGACCGATTCCGCCCCGGCGCTGGGACGCGAGAGAGACAAGGGGAGAGAGACGGAACGCGCGAAGCGTCACCGATACACTGGAGGGATGAATAAACCCTGAGAAGCCCGAGAGACCGGAGCCTCGCGCGAACCCGTCTTCAAGGTTGGGTCATCCACCCGAGGAACCGCGAATCGAGCGAACCCGGGCCCGATCCTCGCAGGAAGCGATCTCGCGGAGGACTCTCTGGACTCTCTCGCGCGCACCGGACTTCTCGACGCGGTAGGGTCTACCGAAAATACCCACGGATTGGAGGTTATGTTCGAATGTGTCTTACGATCCCTTGGCCCAATTCTCCGTGATTGTCCGCAGAAGGCGAGCGATCGCGGACGCAGGCTTTGGGAAGTCGACGAGATCGCTCGAGAGAAGAAGATGAGGACCGACGAAAAGTGACCACGACTAGGAGAGGATCGCGACGACGATAGGAGAAATCTCTCAATGTTCCAGCAGAAAAGTATTTTTAAACGTTGACGAGTTTCCCAGGTTTCTCGATATTTACGTTTGGTCCTCGCCAAGGAGAAAAGGCTGTAACCGGCGCGTCACTTCGTAGGTACGCCGAGAGCTTGGAACCGTGCTGAGAATTCTCCCAAGATTTGTTAATCGTTTGGCTACCAGCCGTAATCACCGAATGATTACGATCGATCGGAGGAACATCGAACAAATCGAAGATTCAACTTGTACGCATCTTTTAAGAAACTCCGGTGTTCGATTAATTTGTGAGAAATTAATAATTCCTGCGAACATCTTTATATTCAAGAAAACGTTGCAAGTTTTGCCCGTGTAAAATGCAGTGTTTTTGTTAAGTGGCATTCGTTCGTAGATGGTTCATAGGTTTATTTCTAATTTTCACTTATAGTATTGCCTTTGAACCTCACACGAATGGATGATGCCTGGAGGCAATGAACGGTATGGAGAGACATGGACATGGACATGGACATTCGCACGCACATTCCCATCATCACCATCATCACCATCACCATCACTCTCATGGTAATACACAGAGCTCGTCGCAAAATTCGAGTCAGTCTTCGAAGCACGGCCATGGACATACTTCCCATGTGCAAAAGGAAATGTCGAGTGGTCAAGCAGTGCAGAAGCCACGAAATTATAAATTGCTGGTTGATCCGTTTCTAGTGAAGGGTGCGACTAAGTTGTATCGGTACGATGGCACCGTCCCGGGTGATCCTACTTATCCAACGGTACAACCTAGAGATCCAAGATCTCAGTTAACAAGGATATGGACAAGACTGGAGCAACTTGACTTACCAGTACCTAGATTTAAAATTGATTCCAATTACTGTGGAGAACCTCCTCCGTTAGAGGTTACATTTTGTCATTTGAATGATAATATAGACAGAACGTTCTTGACCGATATGGTTTTAAAATTTGGTACCATCGAAGAACTTACTATTTATTATCACCCACTTACCAATAAACACCTTGGTATTGCGAGAGTAGTTTTTGAAACGACGAAAGCCTCGAAAGCTTGTGTAGAAAAGTTGAATAATACATCCGTTATGGGGAAAGTACTGAGAGTATTTCTTGATGCTTTTGGAGAGGAATGCAAAAAAATTTATGATGAGCTAACCACCGAGCGAAAACCTGAAAAGAGGATAGAAAAAGCACCAAAAGTAGAGCCCGAGCCAGAAAAGCAGACACCGATTGAAAAGAATCCTCCTGAAGAAAGAGAAGAATATAGATCGAACAAGAAAGTTGTAGCTAATGTAGAAAAAACGAGAGAACCATATGCAGAAAACTCGAGGTTCAATAAATTTCGTGATTATCCAACCCCTGGTGGTAGTACCGGAAGTGATTTGGGTTACGCGACTGCACCGAGTGAACTGAACTTTTCTAATAATTATTCACAAAACTCTACACCCGCGACAAATTACGATTATTATTATCCAAGTTATCATCATCAATCGACAAATAATTATGTGCCCAATATACCTCCAACTGTGTCACCGAACCTTCCCCTTCAACAAAACTCTAATATGTGGTGGGGTACAAATCCGGGAACCCCTAGTTACCCTACCGCAACTGTTTGGACTCCTCAACCAGGAACGACTCTAGATAGTTCGACCATAGTACCTGTAACCAAAGCTTCGGCACCGAAGGTTCAGCATCACACCCCGAAAAAGGAGAAAGAGACTCAGGTTACGTCAAAAAATTCTTTGCGTGATTCTCCTGTTGAAACAAGAAAAACCTTAGATTTAGATACAAGAATAGCTATGCTGTTAAAAGACAAAGCAGGGGGAATGGCTCCCCCGTTTCTACAGTTTGGTAGTGATTCTGACGACGAGAAGAAATCTCAACGCGTCGAAGAGATGCTCTCGGAACCACCAAGCCCATTCTTATCTGCTGAAATATATAAATCTTGTTTTGAAAAAGCAATGGAGAAAAGTAAAGAACGGTGGAAGTTACGTGAAAATAGCCTGAATCAGTTTTCTATAGATGAAGAATTAGGTAGTGTTATAAGTTCCAGTGAAGATGAAGCACTATTAGGTAGTTACAGTCCTGCACCAGATAGTGCAGAACCGGAACCACCAAAGGAGCCACCACCTCCCCCACCTCCGGATGATGACAGAATGTCGTTAAGTCCTCTTAGTTCTGGAGATGAAAAAATTGAAGAGGTATAATGATAAAAATATCTACTAATCTTTAATCAAATTCCTATTACATTCAGTTTTTTAGAGCTATTATAACTTTGTAACTTGATTATTCATTCTAGGTTATTGCCCAAACCGAGCCTACCAGTCAATTGTATCCAGGAGCTGGTTATCCTGGACAAATAACCCATTATCCACCACCGACAGATGTCTACAATTGGCCTCGTCCAGCTCAGTATCCGTATCCATATGGAACGGCTTACTTGCCAAATCATTATCAGTCGACAACCGCGTCTCTTCCAGGAACGGTGGGTAATCATCAAGGAACAACTTACTATCCGTCGCTTCAATCTAGATTGCAAGCCTTGGCCAGCAGTAGTATTGCAAAGGATAATCCACAGGTGACTAAGATTTTTATAAAGTAATTACCTCTTAACTTCATTTGTTTCATGCCTATACTAGAATGATAAACGTAATCGATGACATATTTAAGCCTTAATGGAAGTTGATTTTTTTTTCTACAGGCACCTACCATTAATGGAGTACTAAATAGGGTCGTTACGGAACTGAAACAAATTTTGAAAAAAGACTTTAATAAAAAGATGGTTGAAAATACCGCGTTTAAACTATTCGAAGATTGGTGGGATGAAAAGAAATCCGAAAAGGTTCAGAGCACTGGAGAAACCACTACTGTTAGTATTGCTACTAAAGAAGAAACTACTAAGTCGCAAGGTCTTTCGTCAATACTGGAACAAGGCACACCTCTAGGACTCAATTATGACGGATTCGGCTTAGGCATTAGAGCGAGTATGCCAAAGATGCCTTCATTCAGAGTAAGTTTTTTTTTTATTCAGGCATATTGTAAATGAAAAACAAATTAGAGTTTATATGGTTATCATATTGCTTCGATAGCGAAAGATTAAAGCACCGAGTCCGTTGCCACAAGATGAAGACAGTCGTCAATCGGACCGTATTGACACTGAAATCATCGACAGTGACAGTGACTTGGATTTACCAGTGGTACAGAAAGTTAAAAGATCGGGTACCTCTCTGCCCAGTACCTCGTCGTCTTCTTCATCTTCTAGCAGTAGTTCTACCGAAGAAGACAGCAGTAGTGAATCTTCCAGTTCGAGTGACAGTTCCGATGACGAAGAAAGTTCTGCAGATGTACGCGGTGCGGTACGTATTACATTTTTTCTATATTTATTGCATACATTCCTACAAGAATTTTAACACGGATAGGCTACGGTGCTCGGATTGGGGATTTCGATGAAACTATTAGATATTCCATATCGAGAAAACATCGACACGTGCCCACCATTACATCCATTAGATCGTAAGTTTTGAGTTTTTTAATTTCGAATTTTCGTTCATTTCGTAGTATACTCTATGAAATTTAAAGAGATCCTACCTATAGTGTAAATCGGTTAATTAAATGACGGTCTTTTTCCAAAATAGACCTCTTGAAAGTTTTCTCAAAATATCCACTGATACGCTGTAGCCCTTCCTTATAATATAAACTATCGCCTGTTTCTAATATATTGTTTTACATCATCACGTAATTGCAAGAATATTTATTTAGCAGGAATCAGACAGCAGGATTTTCGATCACCACCCGTTGGCGCGTAACAGCGAGGATCCTGATATACTCATGGAGTTTGCGATTCAGAAATCGTTGGACTGCCCTACGCCTTCCGGACGAGAAACTCCTGTGCCCTCTTTCAAAATAGAAGATCCCACTTCGATTGACTTCCCACAACACGACAACGAAGTTACTCCCGAATCTTCACCCGTATACCAGGTCGAGACCTTCGAGGAACGCGCGACAGGTGCAGCTATCTCGGATGCAGACGTCAAGTTTGACAGACCCAAGACTCCAGATGTAGACATTTGTAAACTGAAGCAGAACGCGTCGAATGAAGTACACGAGCTGACAAATGTCGAATCGGTTAAGAGGGCACCGATCAAGGATGAAATTCAAGAAATACAGAAGATGGAGAGCTCCGCAGCGGAGGCTCTTATGACTTTAGCTGGGCAAGACAACATTATCAGGCATAGAAGTCCAGGATCCATACAACCTAACATTATCCGGACGTTGCAATCGCTCTCTGCCAAATATATCAACGACGAACCAATACTTAAAGAATCGGAGAAAATTGAAATGTTTAGTGAAATACCTACTACTGACTCCGAGGAGGAGAGCCTTGAGATCAGGAGATTAAGGTACGCATACAGCATGAGAAAAATTAGTACGTCGATTGTGTAGCCTATTTTTATTGACTTCTCGATTCCTTACAATTCGTTTTTATCTAGGTTCCAAGCGGAAACGGATCTTCGACTGAACGGCCAGCGAAGTCCAAGTTCGCCCGGATCACAGGTGTCGCAGGTTTACATGGAACACTCGTATTCGTTGCCACCGGCACAACCGGAGCCAGTCAGCGAGAATCTGGCGCATCGTACACCTCCCGCGATTAAGCCGAAGTCCTCGAGACCGATCAAAAGCGAGAAGACGAAAGAGAAGGCGGAGAAGACCGCGAAGAGGAAATACACCAAGTACTCGAAGTTGCATGCCCATCAGGATCACGAAAGGGAAAAGGAGAATATTCAGAATGAACTCGTCTATGAGGAGCCGAGGAAAGTTCAGGGGCCGTCTGTTAAGTATAAAGAGAGAGATCTGATGAGTGAAATGACTATACTCTACGAGTTTCTTACTAGAGGGATCGACGCGGAAGACGTCGAGTATTTGAGGAGAAGCTACGAGGCTTTGTTAGCGGATGACAGTCAAGGTTACTGGCTGAACGACACCCACTGGGTCGATCATCCTCCGACGGATATTCCTAGTCCCGCGAAACGAAGAAAACGAGATGAGCTCCGATTGCACGCGACCGGAAGTGCCAGAACGGAAGGGTACTACAAGGTCGACGTTCGAGAAAAGGCTAAGCATAAGGTATACGTGAATTCCGAATTTCTGAAATTGCCTTGTAAACGTCATGGCCAGTCTTGGCATAAAGGGTAAATCAACAAAATAATTTCGATACATGTCCCGCTGAATGAAAGAAGTACAAACCGTGAGATAAATGAAATCTATTGATTACTCTTAAGTCTTTAAACGTTATTCTGCTTTTAACTGGCAAGTAAAAAATTGGATTTCCCTGGTAAATTACGCTGAAAGGATGAAATTGTTTAATGCATTCTGTTAAATGTATCACTAAATTTTCTGTCATGGAGATACCACTTTTGCCTTTGGCTGCATCCTTTGATAGAATTGAAAAAAATTGAGTAGATTCACTTGAAACCAAAAGACCAAAATAAAGGCTAAACTAAAAATTAAATCAAGGCAGAATTTCGATGCATTTTATCTTCATTGACCATAGGCTCTGTAATTCCCTGTATTCATAAATACTAATTTTATTTTCTAGCATCACTACGCTCAAAGTATACAACGCAGTAATGATATTGAAGATAGTGGCGTGTGTATCGGTGGTGATGGGACAATGAACGGTCCCAAAACCAATTCCAAAGCTCTTACAGGCAAGATGCAAGCGTTATCACGAGAAGCGCGAAGTAACCAGCGTCGATTGTTAACCGCCTTTGGAATCGACACGGATAGTGACCTTTTGAAGTTCAATCAGCTCAAGGTGAAACAGAGAACACATAAGTTTCAGCCTGACTTCGGACTATAATTTAAATACTAATCTTTTTCGTCTCTTATATTTCAGTTCCGAAAGAAACAACTTAAATTCGCCAAATCAGGTATCCACGATTGGGGTCTGTTTGCCATGGAACCAATTGCGGCAGATGAGATGGTGATCGAGTATGTCGGCCAAATGGTGAGGCCAGTTGTCGCGGATTTACGTGAATCGCAGTACGAAGCCACCGGCATCGGAAGCTCCTACCTCTTCCGCATCGATTTGGATACGATCATCGATGCAACGAAATGCGGCAATCTGGCACGGTTTATCAATCATAGTTGCAACGTTAGTCATCTCCCGTATTCAATAACCATTTCAGGGTACCTGTATCAAAGTTATAATTCTAGTACATACAATGTACATTCGTTTTCTTTTCTCTTTTGCAGCCGAATTGTTACGCAAAAGTGATTACGATAGAGAGTCAGAAGAAAATCGTGATATACAGTAAGCAACCGATCGGTGTAAACGAAGAAATAACTTACGACTACAAATTCCCGTTAGAAGACGACAAGATTCCCTGTCTATGTGGGGCGCCCCAATGTCGGGGTACTCTCAATTAAATCATTCATCATGCTTCATTCGTCATTCCCCTTTTCTGCCCTCCCAATGTTCTCCTACGATTCATCGTACCTTACTCATATTTTTGTAAATAAACCCCCATGTAAACATTTTATAAAAATGCAGTGGAAATTGCTGAATCACCCTGAGTTACACTTTTTTTAGCGCTTCTTACCATAGATTAACGGTATTCTCAGAATTAATAGAGAAACGGTCTTATCCTTTAAAGGGATATTTGGAAAAGATAATGATCGATACAATTTTCAAAATGAAATTAGGACAAAAAGAACTATTGATTGCATTGTATATTAAATAATTATTTACAGCGAAAATAAGACACAAACATTATCATTGATTTAGTAAATTTGGCGAAGGATCTGGTATTTGATGTATGTTATTTGAAGACATGGTGTTTGTATTGTTTACATTTTCTTGTTTGAAATTTGTTATAAGGTTTAAGTTGCTATTAATTACAGCCGTGGCTGCTGGATTTTGCATGTCGAGTTGACTCTGTGCGATATCCTGCAATGCTGCCTGAATTCTCTGAAGCAAAGCTTCCCCTTGTCGAACTATTTCCTCTAGTTGTTCACCTGCTTCCTGATTTTCTTGTTCGAGTCGACTGAGACTAGCAACTTGAAGTTCCTGAGAGGACTCTTCACTGGGAAGACTCTCGATCAACGTGTCAATGTCCTTAGCACAGCGAGCAATTAATGTGGCAAATAAAGCTGCATAATCTGTAACGACAGGATAAGTAATTTCATCCATACTGTGAATGTCAAATGATATTAAAATTAGTATTTATGGTAATACCTTCTTGAGGTTGATGTGGTTGCGATGCGCCAATACGATCAAAACCAGGGAACTTACTTGGCGTAGAATATTGTTGTAATATTCCAACACTGTTGCAAAAATGTTCGGCTTGCTGTAACATTTTTATTTTGAAACAAATTATAGCAATGATATATATAAAAAAAATAGTAATTTGCATGAAAGGAAATCTGATGACTGTAGCAATAACTTTACTTGATTTATTGTGTCCTGTAATTGCGTTAGGCGATCTGCCATAATTCACAATTCTGGATTCGAAAACTTAACAGGTTACAATGTATTATTTATTTAATTAACGACAGGTTTCAAATCAGCAAAATTATACGTTCTCAAGCTTATTCCACAGCACGACTCTACAAACCTAACCCATACAGTACAATACAGTAGCAAAAAGTTGGTTGGTTGCCCGTGCCCCACGCAGAGATGAATTGGGAGATTGCTCATGGGCTGAGTCGCGGCGTTCTCGTTCTGTGCTGCCCTCGGTGGAGAATGCAGGAGGCTGGCGCACTTGCACCTAATGCCCCCAGTGACTGCCCAACTAAGGGATCCTCCTCATCTCCGAGTTCGGCCGCCACTGAGGGATATCAGGTGGCAAGTGCGCGATTGCGCGACCCTACCCGTAAGCACCCGTAAACGTAACCTAACCTAAACCTACCCGTAAGCAATCTCCCAACTCATCTCTATGATAACAAATATCCTTTAACATCTTTAACCAACAAGTTCAGCAAGCTCTGCGGCGATGAACTACACACGATGATTTGAAAAAAGAAAATGGATTCTGTTAAGTGATCCACCTAAACCTGGAAAGGGGCACAAAAGAACAGGCAAAACAAAACATTAAAAAGAAATTCAGGAAATCTGAAATTAGATAGCGAATACGTTACTAAAAGTCAAGAATATTAATTGCACATCGATCTTGTTAAATTTACTGAACTGGTATTTTTCATATCACTAAGTATGCAAAAATCCATTTTAATGCAGACTCGACAAAATATAATCAAAATGATTGTTTGCCGTTTCTTCCCCGTCAATCCTGACAAAATGACATACAAAATAGAGGAGGGACAACGTGGCCAAAAAAATGGATGGCTATCCGTTCGAAAGAACGGAAGGCCATCGTAGTTGTCTATTTAAGGGGCCGCTTCGACATATAGCCTCTTGGACTCTTGCAGTCTTTTCGGACAGCGCCTCCTACATCTCGAACGCTGGTCAATCCCCTAATTTTTCGGATTAAAAAAAATCACTCCGAGAACAGATCCAAAGCTAGCAAAACGACGACCTACGCTCCGAGGATGCGCAGTCGGTGCGTATTGCAAATTTATTCGGATTCCCAAGCGTGATCCAATTAATTTCATTCTTGAAAGAATATTATCACAATCACGGGCATCGGGGGGTACCCTGACTAATAATTTACGTTCCAGACTAAAACTAATTACTCGCTCTACCTGTTTAAATCTAGACGTTCATTTCAGACAACTATCCTACCTCCCTACCGATATCTAAAAGATCAACCACATTCAGCCCAACGCATTCGCTCCACGGTTCTCTGACACTCCACCCGGGTGCAAAGAGCCTAATCCTAGAAAGCGCATCCCGAGATGTCTCCGACACCCAAGTTCAGTTCTCGCACAGCGTACTATCGATTGCCACCGCCGGTTCAATGATAAAAAAAATAAAATGAGTATGGTGGATGGAACTCGAAGGAGTTTACAAAATTTACCACGCCTTCTGGCCCCAACCCATTCGACCCGCTCCTGGAGGAGTCGAAGGGCGAGGGCCAGCAAGGAACGCGGACACAGGAAGAGGCACTTACCGCCGATGACGCTGAAAACATCCTAAGCTGATTAATTTCGACATCGTTAAAACAAGCTACCGACTCTACTGGACATCGATACTTCCCAATTTCGACAAGATAGAAAGCCAAGCTCAACTCGCACTACGGCTCCAAGGTAGTGGAAGGCTTGGCCGAAAAATCTTGAAATCCCTGAAGCCGTCCTCCTCCTCAAGGCGGCGGCTCTAAAACGACGCGCAAGGACTTCGAAGCCACCTCGACTCGGATCCGACTCCTCACGAGACCCTCCTCCCGGGTCTTCTTCGAATCAACCAAAGAAACTCCGCAAATCCGGTGGCTCCGAAGTCGGAGGGTCCTACGACTTCTCGGTGCTCGATGAAAGATCGCGAACCGAGATCTACTGCGGACACGGGAGGAGGCTAGTACTAGTCTAAGTTAACACGTAAAAAAAGAGACAATCCGCGCGATCTCTCGCAAGTCGGCGAGAGGTCGTCCCGTCGACTCGCGGTCACTCAAACAAATCAGGTAACATACAACCGACCCCCCTTGTCGGTTTGGACCTTTTGTCCTGCGACATGAGACCGCAGGAACGAAATGTCGAAACTCATCGACGGAACGTTACGTTTTCTTCGTGCGGTACTCCCTCAGGATATCCCTCCCGAAGGAGACCTGGGGTTCCTGGCCTCCATTTGTCTCCGCCCTCGAAATTGGCTCTGGCTGCATTCCACTTCTGCGTCCGCTTCCTCTTCCTGTTGGCAGCCCTGAATAATTCCGATATTTTGAAATTCGATATTCCGTAGGGGTGCCGTTGGATGGAGGCAATTGAACGATATTTAATCCTTGGTACTCGGGATCTGTGATCACTGTGACGCATTAACGGCCTTGACTTCGAATCCCCTGCGCAGCGGCACGAAAAACTGTGCGCGCACCACCCAGCCATTTACAGTTCTTATACTGTTTGCAATTAATAACAGGAAAGACTATGATAAGTGGTATTTTATTTTAAGAAACAGATTGATTACAGTCGTTAATAATATAATTAATACCATTATAAATAATAAATTATTTTGGAATAGAGCATTCAAATATAAATTCTCGTTCTGGAAAAGATCATTTAAATGTAAATTCTCATTCTGGAAAAGATCATTCAAATATAAATTCTCATTCTGGAAAAGATCATTTAAATATAAATTGTCAAAGTTGTCTCATATTCCCTAAAATTTTCTAGGGATTTTTAAATTACCGTAATATTCTCAATTACATTACTCGAACTTAAAATCTCTTATCCCATCCCAGTGTAGGTGCAAACCTAATTCCACGATAGTTTTGACGATGATTGACATGTAATATTGGACTGACTACATTTTCTGTTGATTGCTGGAAAGAAGTCAATTAAGGATTGAAGAGAGATAGAGATAATTGTAGGATCCCTATTCCTCACTTAAACGTATGTATGCTACTGAGTAAGGGAAAGAGCATTTTTTCCCAAATGCCAATTAATTCCGACCATAGAAGCCTACTAAGATAGGGCGAATCTCGATGAGAATTATCCCAACTTTGAAAATGTCGATAGTTACTTCTCCGTGCATTAGCACTACTATTGTCCATTATATTCATTAATCTCGCATTTACAGGTTCAACGAACTAACTCTCGTATCCACACTCCGTATATCTGTCATTTTCTCACCGACGGATAAGCACGAGTTGATGCAGTAATGTGCTCTCTTTTCTTCCACCAACGAAAACCAGGAACCACGTCCTACTATCTATTATCCTCATTCTTATATGGCATGAACCATTGGGTTATCTGTGCCTACTTTTGCACAAGTCCTGCATGAGGTTCTATCGTCTGTCATTATTTCTTCTATAACGCTCAAATAATAATCCAGATTAAAAAAATCATTAAACTCGGGTAAAGAAGACAGGACCCGATCCATATCGACTAAATAACGAGTTTCCAAGGTGGTACCATGCATCACCTTTCAGCCAAAAAACTTTATCACCCCAGCTGGGACAGGCAAGAATTACAGACTAAAGAAGCGAATCTATTGATCTAGCTATTTGATGATGATAATATAACCTCTCCTAATAGTACGATTTGGCAGTCCAGAACGTCTTGTGATTGGAGGGTATCTCAAATCTTAGAAAAAAAGTTACTCCTGCGGTATTAAAAAAAAATAAAAACAGTATAACGTTTAACAATTCCCCGATCGGTAAGGATAATAAAGATAAACAAAGGAAAATCTTATACTCTCGTAACGAATGATAGAACAAACAACATAACAAGACGCTACGGTACGCTCATGAGGAAAACCTAAAGGTTAATTTCCATTCGCGCGGAAAGCCCGCGGAATCGGTGCACAGCGTGAAATGCCCTGGAGACAGCTTATTCCATGTTCCGCGCTGCGCGTCGATTCCGCGTCTTTTCCGTCTGTATGGAAATGAGGCATTCCTCTGACCGGATCATAAAGCTAACTAACTGAAAAAGTCTTGAAATTTCGACAAAAAGAAACGGTACGGCACTGTTGGTGCTTCAAATCGACAGGGGAGGGTTTGACGGGTTGCTACTAGAGAAGACAGAATGACACCAACCTAAAACAACGCGATAAGAGATCAATAAAAGTAAACAAACTTTCGTCAGTCTGGGCTAACTTTGAGCCCAACGTTGTGGCGTCCAATTCATACTTTCTTCCATTCCGGGAGCTAACTCATACCCTGAGTCTGTCCACTTCTTACCTCCTGGATCGGGATTTGCTTTACCATTGTCCTGGGCAGACCAGCATAATGGATCTACCGACGCCGACGCCGTGCTTCCCTGCTGGCGCATTTCGAACACCCTTTCCGTAACATCCCTGGCATGCCGCATCCATAACAGAATCTACGGCGCGGCTGAGGACACTGTGAATATGAGTGTCCCAATTGAAGGCAATTCCAACACTCGTCGCCCATCAAAGGATGGGCGACGGGGCTAGTTTCCTCGATCCGGCACAACTCCGTGCTCGACGTCTTTGGAGCCGGTGACACTGAGCGTAACATTTGGGCCATCGGCGACACAAGCAAAGCGGCTGTCCGACGCTTACGTCGCGGGTCCTTATCAAAAGGACCCGGTTCGGCCTCCGAGTCGCTGTCCAGGTCTCTTATCGGTGGTAAGAAAGGGACAACCAGTCCCATCTTCGTGCGGACCCCAAGCATCATTTGCTCCGTCGAATTTCCCTGGCTGGGTTCGAGTTGAGGTTCAGAGCGGGCCGCAATGGCCTCCATCTCTGCTGGCATCGTTGACGATAGCAGATTCCTAGCTGAGATGTCGCCCGATGCAAAACTCGCTTCTAATGGCTCAATGGGTTTCAGATTGTCAGTCATCGGTAGACGCTCCGTCTTCTCCGTTGGTGCAGGTTCCTGTGCTGTCGACAACTCGGTCTCCTCGCTCTGGATTGGCGCCGGAACTACATACTCTACTGTCTCGTGTAACTCCTTTGACGGAAAGCTTCTCCACGGAAATTGCGTAAGGGTTCCTCGAGAGGTTGTCTCCTTCCCCACTGGCGCTAACAACACCTCTGGAAGAGCCCTACGGATCTCCTCGATGAATCGCTCCCGCTGCTCCGGTCGTAGCAACGTTATTAGCTCCAGCTGACCTGTCAGGGCCCGACATAGGTCCAAAATGGGCGTTATTAGGACCGTGTGGGTATCCTTGAACCACATCTCGGAACCCTGCTCGGTCTCTTTCCAGTTCTTCTGACAACTTCTCTCTTCCGACCTCGACATCGTACAAGTCTTCATCGGTTCTTGGATGATAGGGATTCTTTCAAGAAAACCGAACGACCGTATCATACACTACAGAAGATGGTATATGAAATCGTTGGTCACTGGTCGATGATGACATTTATATCCTAACAACCTGTGCGAAGATGACAGCTAGCAATTCATACCTTTATTGTCAAAGATGCAAATACGGTGAAAACTGTTTCGTTAACACGTCTACTACTACTCCTACTACTATTACTAGTACGATTACGTTACTTCTACTACTATTTAGTTACAGAGATTAGCGGGGAGATGTTTGACGCCGTTGTTTGAATGTGAGACACGATCCACTGACGCCCTATACACCCCTGAAAAAATTAGAACTGTTTACAAAGGGGCGAAATCTTCATGATAGGTAAAACAGTGTATGTGTGTGTAGCGCCGTAGAACATTTCGCCATGGAAGTAAGAACATATGAACGGAGCCCAAAGTCCCATCTTAGATCAGGGGGGAAGCCTGCTCATCGGAAAGGGAAGAGTGGGCCAGCCATACCGTTGTGCCAATTTTTTAGCTTCCTAATTGATAGGTCACCTACTACATATTTTCTGTTTACTCTAACTTATTTATTTTTGCCACTCCTCTACGTAAAACGTAATTTTTACCTTTTTTTATGCTACAAGTAGTATATTGTACTTCATTCGGTTTATCTATTCACAGCTCGCATCGTTCTTTACTCGCTAGTCTTAAAGTGACAACTAAATCTCAGCCAATCAGGAAGCTAAGATCTCGGCTCTCCAATATCGTTACCTTCTCATTGTTCTTACGTGCTCCCCCCTTACTTACTCCTGCACTCGCCCCACTGGCTTAGGCTCCGTCAAAGAATTCAGAAATCTTCATAGAAGCACAGAAGGATACGGACGTTCGATGCTTGATAAATAGTACGTTAGCCAACGGATGGCGGCGCTGTAATCATATCTCCATCTCTCTTAATCTAAAAGCGATATATAGCGAATTGCATTCTTTCTTTATCTTACACACTATACTCGCCATTCTATATACATTTCCCTTCCACCCGTATGTGAGATATTGTTGGCTTACACATGCAATCTCTCTTTTACCCCCACATTTAGTTTGTTAACCAACTTTTAGAGCATCAAGCGCTAACATAGGATCTGGGCTTCTATGGGACTTCTGAATTCTTCGGCTCCGTCCATATATTCTTACGTTTATGTATTTCGTTCCTTTAAAAATAATTCCACGGCGCTAGTGAGCCGTGTCTCACTTTCAACAATGGCGGGAAATATCTCCCCGCTCATATCTGTTAGTTACAACTACGTAGATACCATGCTTCAAGATTTAACGTTCGTTGCATTTATGTCAACGCTTTAAATGTCTGCGCAGACTTAAGGTAAAGTGAAACCCCCTTCAAATCAGTCGATTCTAATACAACACTTTTTTTTAAGGGTTTTAGACCAAACTGTCTGCAACTTTGACACATCACTCCTGATCGTCTAAGAATTGTCCTGACACATTCAAAATTTGGATTTAAAAAAAAAATTTTACTCAGCACAGACCAGATCCAGAATGGCGTCGAGCTCTAATATTTCGATCGATATACAATTATCGAAGGCTCTGATATGAGAAACGAAAGGGTCAGGACAATTTTACGACAATTTAGAATACTGTGGTAATCGATAAACTCGCATTTAAACGAGATAAAGGCAAAAGAAGTGTTGTATGCGCTTCTATGCTAAAACGATGGGAATACGAGGTCTCGGAGAGAAAATTTAATTCATCTGTAAATCACAGATGGCGCAGGGGGTTCCTCTGCAGTCGATTAGGGCCTCGGAAAGCATGAATTCAGAGGATTTCTGGAGTTTTACTTAGATTTCTTTATAATTATTGTACGAAAACGACAGGTGGAGTATGCCATTTGGTACAATACCCAATATAATTCGACCCAGCTGTCAATATAAAAACGAACGTCGACAACGTAGGCATTTAGAAAAATCTTTATCGATGTCGATCAAGTTCCTCGACGTGTTTCACTTCACCTTAAGCGCTGTATAAGATTAATTGACAGTTCCAACATAGGTGCAAATATCTGCACGTATCTCAAATTTCACGTTTGCACGCACAAATCGCACAAAAAATGTCTTTGTTGCGTGACTGGCAACACAGACGTCAAATATAAACGTAATAAAAATGTCAGCAACGTGACGCGCCAGCTTATTACCACTCGAGTATCCAAAATGGCGTTACCGTTGAAAAGGATACAGATGCATTTTATTTTATCGACATCGATTAAATTTTTCGGTGCCTTTCACATCATCTTAAGTAATCTACCTGAAACAGAAAAGATATATACATACTCATACATGGTATACGATAACTTCATTCCAAATACGATAATTTTCCTACAGTTGGTACGATTAGTCAGATTTCAGTTGGCAACGCTGCACCGACTATAATGCCAAAAAAATCAGAAGTCTCCATAGAAGCCCAGGATACGGACGTTCGATGCTCGATAAATAGTATGTTAGCCATCGTACGGCGGCGCTGTAATCATATCTCCATCTCTCTTAATCTAAAAGCGATATATAGCGAATTGCATTCTTTCTTTATCTTACACACTATACTCGCCATTTTATATACACTTCCCTTCCTCCCGTATGTGACATATTGTTGGCTAACACATGCAATCTCTCTTTTACCCCCACATTTAGTTTGTCAACCAACTTTTAGAGCATCAAGCGCTAACATAGGATCTGAGCTTCTGTGAGACTTCTGAATTCTTTGACTATGCTGACAAAGTTGGAAAATGACGCAATCGCACGCGGGTCAGGAAGGCAGGGATGAAGGCAGAGATAAACACAAGATCACGAGCAGAAATTGCGTTTATAAATGGAGGAAGGCTTCGTTGGCCAGAAAGGTCCTGATGTAGCTGCCCTTCGAAGTGGGGTTAAGCCTATTATCAGATTAAGAGGATAGGACTCACCGGTCGACGACTCCTCGTTTCTTTGGTGGCAGCCGCAGTAGTAAATGCTTCTCCTCCGCAGAATGGATCGACACAGAATTCCTGAACGGGATGAAACAAAACGTGAATCGTTGTCTGTTTTTCCGGTGAAGGTCCTCGCGACAGGGAAGGCAGGGAATGCCTTTGTCCTGAGGCCAGATCGTCGCCGTCGGCTTCACCCGCGCCGGTACGTTGGATGAATCTGTCCCTAACTAGAGCAGGTTTGACCTGGGTCGGTAAGGCAGTAAGTGGCTTACTTCGCTTAGATCGATAATCAAGGGGCCTTCTAATTGAACTCGGTCCTCCCGCCACCCGTGGATCCTCCGCCGCCGACAGGCCAGGATGGCGCCTCCAGGATAAGAACGTCGCATTTTCTAAATCTTGATAGGACATCCCGAGTTCACGAATCAACCTCGCCGATACCTGTTTCTCTAAAATCTGTGAACGAGTGTCGTCGCTCGGCACAATTGCCTTACACCTCCTTCTCCGGGAACCAAGTCAAATTAATACATCAGTATCTAAGTAAAATTAAAATTATTGCTTGCCGGGGGTGTAGCATACATACGTCGTGAGTTTGTTAGTTTGTGTTGTTGAGTATACATTTAGAAACACGTGTATTGCTGCAGATAACTGATAGCCGTCCGCCTCGCGGTGGCCGTATTCTAACATTTAAGGTGAAGTGAAACCCCGTTCAAATCAGTCGATTCTAATACACTTTTTTTTTAAGGGTATTGGACCAAACTGTCCGAAACTTTGACACATCACTCCTGATCGTCTAAGAATTGTCCTGACACAATCAAAATTTGAATTTTTGAAAAAATTTTTTTAACAGCCCAGACCAGAATCAAAATGTCGTCGAGCTCTCATATTTCGATCAATATACAATTATCGAAGGCTCTGATACGAGAAACGAAAGGGTCAAAACAATTTTACGACAATTTAGAACAGTCTGGTAATCGATAAACTCGCATTTGAACGGGATAAAGGCAAAAAAAGTGTTGTATGCGCTTCTATGCTAAAACGATGGGAATACGAGGTCTCGAAATGAAAGTTTAATTGACCTGGAAATCACAGATGGCGCAGGGGGTCCCTCTGCAGTCAATTAGGGCCCCAGAAAGCATGAATCCAGAGGATTTCGAGAGTTTCACTTCGATCTCTTGATAATTATTGTACGAAAACGACAGGTGGAGTATGTCATTTGGTACAATATGCAATATAATTCGACACAGCTGTCAATATAAAAACGAGCGTCGGCAACGTAGGTATTTAGAAAAATGTTCTTTATCGACGTCGATCAAGTTCCTCGACGTGTTTCACTTCACCTTAATTACGAAAGGCCTCTATAGTGGCTTCCGCCTGACCGACGCTTTTTTACGAAGCGCCGCTATAGTGGCCCTCTTCATTCTTATGTATTCTAACCGCCAAATGAATATCGTGTTCATATAAAATATGTGCATTCCGAGGCCGAGCTATCCGTACAGGTGGTACATCTCCACGTCCGAGTCCGCCGTCGTTAAAGGGTTTAATAAGTATTCAGCGAGATAATACGTAAAATAATAATCGCGGATACCATAACGAGGACTGTTTTCTCGTACGTCTCTCCACAATCTTTCTACATCTTGCGTATGAACTCCACTTTCAGGATCTACAAAATGATTTGCATGACACCTAGGACATGTTATTTTACTACAAATGACTTTCTCTTCCCGTAAGAAATTCCACAACGATTCAGAGTTGTATGATATTAACACTAGGTTTACGGGACCCGTCAATTTGACGGAATTCAAACTTCAAAAAGAAATACCGAAAAAACCATAGGATTAATTTTAACCATTTTTGTATCGTAAATTAATCATTTCATCCAAAGAATTTGTACGCACAATTATTTTTTCCTAAGCCTTCTAATTATTAAAATCTGTATGTAGTGAACCTATCTCTACGAAACCCGTCAAATTGACGGACTAGCTAATTTCATAAACAATCCATATATATTTGCTTCGTTGCAGTGAGTGTAAGGCGAAGATGAGAGTGAAAGTTTGCATTGAAAGTGGAGAAATAGAAGGATCTTCGGATAGTGAAGAGGAAAACTTCTTGAAAGGGTGTCGTAGCAAGAAAAGGATGCGCATTCTTTCTAGTTCCGACTCCGAGGATGAGAGAACGAGCATTCCAATAATTTCCGTGATAATTTTTAAGAAAGGACTTTTTACTTATTAATAATTCATTTAAACGTAAAGCCTAGTGTTGTTTAATTCAGACTTAATTTGAATAAATCGATTTTTTAAAGAAAATGCGTGTTTTCGTTTACCTGTCAATTTGACGGGTGCTCGTAGAAACAGGTATATAAAAAAACCTCCGTAAACCTAGTGTTAATAAACTCGTGCAAACGTATTTTGAAACGTCACAGAACTAATATCTTGAATTACGCGAGTAGCTGGCTCATTACACGACGGGCTGATTATGAGAGATGACAGAATCTAGACAGAAAAGGTCAAAACAGAATAGTATGTGTATGAACATTTGTATACAGCGGATATATATCACGTTAGTCTTGAAATGTACACCTAGAGTCGTAAACGTGCGTTCAACGCATCAACATCATTTCATCGATAAGTTTTTAGTAAACAACGATCAATCGATCAATAACTTTTTAGTGACATCAGCTACGAAAAGTATTCCTTCCTAGGCATCGGAGCAGGGGCAAGGAGACAGTTGGTTGGTTTGGTCAATATTTTATTTATTCGTTCAATTTATTTTAAACAATATGTTCATTCAGAGGAGGAGCGCTCCCTGAAAAATGAATACGATATAGTAAATACGTTCCTTTTTACATTGTATACCATATACACAATAATATAATGATAATAAGGAGAATAAGGGACAATGATACTGCTGGCCCGAGGCGCGAGACGTAAAGAAGAAATGGATCAGACACAGGTCGCGGCTTTTCGTGTTCCCGTCAGCATTCGACGGACGTCCTTGTCGGAACGCATACTCGCGGGCTCCCGTTAAGTTTCTTTTTTCTTCCTTTTCTTAGCAAAGGTTCCTTCGACTCTGGTCAAGCTGCGATTACTATAAAATAGGTAAAAAAGCCTTGCTCACAAAATATATCTTGCGGGTATATATTGTCACGGTGTTCTAATTTCAGGCTGCGCGATCGACCGGAGAACCCTCGAGAGGAAGTCGCGTCCCCAATCAACGGGTGGTGTTCCTTACAAGGAAGGTATCCCAGGTCGATCTCTCCGATTTCATTTCTTTTATAATATGTTATAGTAGATTAAAAACTAAGCGACACGTATTTTTTTTTAACAGCCATTAAACACTTTAAGGAGGTGAAACCATCATCCAAAGTAAGGCATGTCAAGGAGCGATTTGTGCCCAAAATTATGAAAGTGGTCTAAGTCATATATTTTTTGTTTCGAAATTACATTGAATTAATTTCGTTTGAAATAATGTGGCGTGAAATAACTGATAAACTCATTTTTTTTCAATTTTGACTTAGACTACTTTCATAATTATGGGCACATTTGGCAGTTTCACCCACAAGAACATATTTTTTAACCAATCCACCTGGAAAAGCTTTCTCATAACGAGAAATGAAAAATATAATTTTCTCAATTAAAAAAAAAAATTAAGGAGTGGGCCACCCCTCACAGGGGTGAGCGTTCGGGGGTAGTTGCCCCGGCCAATATTTATTTTCGGGAAAATCCAAAGACATGTCGTATGTCCTGTACATACACAACATGTTCATACGCAACATATATTTTTTTCAGATTTTTAGACTTGAATTTGACCATTTTTTGCATAAACGTAATCATACATAGGAGTAGCTCACCCCTTAACTTTTTTTGTTTTAATTCAGAAAATTATATTTTTCATTTCTCGTTATGAGAAAGTCTTTCCAGGTGGGTTGGTTAAAAAATATGTTCTTGTGGGTGAAACTGCCAAATCGCCCCTTGACGTGCCTTACTTTGGATAGTGGTTTCACTCCATTAAAGTGTTTAATGGCAGATAAAAAAAAATACGCATCGCTTAGTTTTAGTCTACTATAACATATTATAAAAGAAATTAAATCGGAGAGATCGACCTGGGATACCTTCCTTGTTGGTATCGTCCGGGATACGACGTTAGGGATCCTCTTCGCATTTTGGCGCTCCTTTTGAAACGAACGTGAGTGGCCATTTGCGTGGTCTGCCAGCAAATTCGAAACTACGCGGCGAATCCAGATTCTTTACGTGGCATATGGTGATCATAGGGATCGAGAACGCGCACAGCACTTGGTGCGCGCAATACGTTGCGT